TTCGAGTCGATAACACGCGCGAAACAGGTATACCGCGCATTGCAGCCGATATCATTTAATGGCGTTACGTAATGTAAGATTTACGGTAATCACTTGACTTCATAGGCGAGTGGCTCGGGATCAGAGCACAACCGGAAATCGTTGCTGCATGACACGGGAAGGCGCGTTCAGCAGGAGCGCACCAATTACATTTTTCGACGACGGCAGATATTTAATTTCGCGTCGTTCGAGAAATATCAGTGGCCGAAGGAGAACATTTATTGTGTGACTGTTACTGCGCGCGGCTGTTTAACTGCGAGTTAAATGATCGTAATTAGCCACGAATCACTATTCTTACGGTAGGCGCGCGTACTTTTTTTCTAAAACGGTAAACGCGGCAAAATAAGGCATGCAAAAGTGTACGCTTCCTGATCGAGGGCCTCTAATCGAGCCGAGCGGCTACAGTTAGACGGTCGTGCAGGAAATTAATTGCCGTACATCTTTCCCTTACATCATTTCCTGCCGTAAAAAAAAAAACCCAAGGAATGGTGTACGAACATATAATAAATTAAAGATAGTGTTTTATGGAAGTTTAATGCGTCCGTAAAAAATTCGAGTGACTACCATACAATTTTAATGAAAACAACGTTCTTGTGCCTCAATCGGTTAATCTTGTTTAGCCTCTTTTCTGCTACGCGTCACATCGTGACAAGCATTTTCGTCGACAGCATCCTCGACTCGTTCCCGAGACCTTTTCCGGTTCCTAGAAACGCGATATGCACTTGGCATCAGCGCTGGATAACAGATTCGCCGGCGATCGCCCGTTCCCAGTACTCGTCGGTCGGTACTCGAGGCTCCGCGCGATAAAGTCGCCGCGCTGGGAAAAAGGTGAGGAAAGACAGGGCGACGACGCGCGAACAGGGAAACAACCCCCGGGGACAAACGCGTGCACGCCGCGAATGAATCGCTGCGAATTTATCACGGCGAAACTCGAGCCGATGGCCTCGCACCGGCCGGCAATTAACGGCCGTGATTTAAGGGCGCGCTAGTCCAGGTTTTAACGCCGACTCGCGTCGCGGCTCGTTTGCCTTTCTCGCTTTGTGCGCGCGTAATTCCGCGGTCATTACACGCACGGGAAAGAGATGTAACGTGGCCAAGTTTATCGTTCGTGGAAATGGAATTTATTTTAAATCCGTGCGTCAGCTTATACATAGAATAGCGTAAACCTTAGCACGCGCGTATTGACACATTGTTTAAAATTCTTCTATTGAATTAATTATCGTGACAGACTGTATTATTAAAATATTTAACGCCATTTTGTAAATTGCGTTCTGAGTTTCTAAAATACGTTCTCATTCCTCGTAAATAACAGATGGGAATCGGCTTGATCCTACCGACCTTATTTGTCTAGTGCCCTCCATTCCAGGCGCATTCTCTTGTTTAGAGTTTTGACGGTTCCGACAGGTGAAATTATGTGCTTACCTATACACGTCTCACCGCGGCCTGGCTCGACGCGGGGTTGGTCGGTTGCGTGTCTGCTCGAGGAATCCGGTAGGATGTGATTACCGCAGCTATTATTAAACTATTACCAAGAAACGTAGGAGAAGAGAATGCATTTTGTTGTCAACCGTAGTACGACTCATTCCAGAATGCAAAAGGACCAGAAGAATGTTGGTCAGTTTCTCGTATTCCACGAAACGATTTGCATGAGGGAAAAATGACTTACAGTTCATTATTATTTTACATTATGTCTGATTGGTGTTCTAAGTTCACGTTTATTTAATTAAACGCTTTTTACCAAAAGATTTCTTTGCTGATTAACAATTGCCAGCGTATTATTAAGAAACAGAATAGAGAAACGAAGACTGCATTTTATCTTTTCCTTTAATTCCGAAACGGTGATAAAATCATATCCATGTCCGATGCATCTACTCCAGCTCGTTTCTTATTGCACGAAACTACTTAAGCACTCACGATACGCCCACCATAACGAATCCAATTTAATACGAGTTAATGATCGCGCGTTTCTAATACGTACGAGCCGCGCTTTTGTATTCGGTTTATTAGCTCTAAACGCTGCCACGTAGAGCTGTTTACGATCCGCGAAACCACAGCTCTCGTGGCTCTCCTCCTCCGCGTCGTGTCTCCGTGCTGCATCGTTGCGTTGTCTCGCAGTCGCGTCGTGGCTATTAAATATCGTTACCTTATTACGGCTTGTCAATGCCCCGTTCGGTCCATTTATTAACAAACTCGGTCGCGCGCTCATTCATTACTACCCGGGAGAATAGTAGACGTCGACGAACGTTGGCTCGCTTATTAGGTATCAATTTTTACGTCTACCTGTTCGCGGTGAACTGGCTCATACTTTCGCTCGTTACAAAATCGTTTCGTACTGCGTTTCGCAACGCGCCGGAATGCGGGTAGACTATCGGCGAACGCGTGAATCCGTCGATCTAATTGCTCGACTCGTGACTTTGCATTACATTCGGTGAAGCAGCTTTACATCATGAATGACTGAATACTATAAATCAAAGTAAAATACATTGCTATTTACTTGAATAAAAATCGGGTGAAAATTGATATATGAACGTAAAGCTTATGTCAAAGAAACAATTTTGGTGAGGATTCTTGAATATTAATTAAAGCCGTTTGCATTCTAAATTAATAGATTCGTTTATGTTGACACACTTTAAATATTCGTTATTGTAGGAAATGTAACAGGCTTCTAGTTTCCATATTAATAGTCAAGCTAATTACGAAAATAATGAACGAAGGAAAAGATTTATTTATTAATTCATTATTGACATGAGCAAACAAATTTTTATACAGAAGGCACTGACATTCTCTATAAGAAAGATTCTATGAATTTTTCTTCTATTTAAACCGTATTTAATAAGTTAAATATGATTAATTGGCATTTTATGGGTTCTGACATAATCCGACTATTTCACCGTCGAAACAGCGAACTTTTGACAAAAAATTTCGTTTTTCCTCAATAACTCCTAAACCGTTGGTCGTACGGGAAAATTGCATAGGACCTTTCTTGTAGAGGACGACGAGATCTATAATTTCTGTATAAAAACTTTTCGCTAGCATTAATATTTAACGAGTTATTGACGAAAAATGAAAAAACCGTTTTTTGCAAATTACTCGTAAACTATTGACGCTAGCGAAGAAATTTTAGATGGAAATTGTAGATCTCGTCGTCCTCTACAAGTAAGGTCTGATGCGATTTTCCCGTATCTCCAACGGTTTGGAAGTTATTGGCCAAAAACGAAAATTTCGAAGAATTTGAAGGGGTACCCCTTGGAAAAATCTCGGAAAAATTGAAAAATTTTTTTTTGTCAAAATTTCGAAAAATGCTTTAAATAAAAGTTGTAGATAGTACTATTTTCTGCAAAAAGAGGTCGTACACCCTTTTCTTATATCTCGAATACATTAGGACTAATCGATTAATTATTTCGTTCATCGCCATACACNTGATTAATTGGCATTTTATGGGTTCTGACATAATCCGACTATTTCACCGTCGAAACAGCGAACTTTTGACAAAAAATTTCGTTTTTCCTCAATAACTCCTAAACCGTTGGTCGTACGGGAAAATTGCATAGGACCTTTCTTGTAGAGGACGACGAGATCTATAATTTCTGTATAAAAACTTTTCGCTAGCATTAATATTTAACGAGTTATTGACGAAAAATGAAAAAACCGTTTTTTGCAAATTACTCGTAAACTATTGACGCTAGCGAAGAAATTTTACATGGAAATTGTAGATCTCGTCGTCCTCTACAAGTAAGGTCTGATGCGATTTTCCCGTATCTCCAACGGTTTGGAAGTTATTGGCCAAAAACGAAAATTTCGAAGAATTTGAAGGGGTACCCCTTGGAAAAATCTCGGAAAAATTGAAAAATTTTTTTTTGTCAAAATTTCGAAAAATGCTTTAAATAAAAGTTGTAGATAGTACTATTTTCTGCAAAAAGAGGTCGTACACCCTTTTCTTATATCTCGAATACATTAGGACTAATCGATTAATTATTTCGTTCATCGCCATACACTTCGTAACAAGTGGCATTAGAAGCAGCAAGAAGTAACGTGCAAAATCATCAGATAAGATAAAAAATAAGTCCAGAGTAACATTCTCAGTAAAGAGGACGCAGCAGAAGAATCGTAGCGGATGTCTTCTGCAGGACGACATGGATCTTGATCGTGCAGGGTGTAGCGACGCGGATTGTGTTCAGTCCTTGAATAAACACGGAAGAATCCGCGAATGGTTCGTACAGCATCTCTGACGATATCGCAGGATGCACCGTGATAACCGATGATATACGGGCGATTGTTCGGCGAGCCGCGAATCCTCGGATGTGGTCGTCTGACCCACATCCTCGTGCCACCGTGCCGAGCTCTCGGTGACGGTCAATATGACGCGTTCCCGTTGCTGTCCGGACGAAAAACTTCTCGCAATCGCGCGTGGGTACCAATTTTTCACCAGCGACAAGTGAAAGCAATTCTTTATTCGGAATCCCCTCGTGTGCCATCTTCTACGACTTTACGAGAATTATTATTATTATTATTATTATTATTATTATTATTATTATTATTATACAGCCAGAGTTCATACATGATAATATTCTCGATCAGAGTGTTCTAGCGAGTGTTCACTCAAGAGAAAGGTCTGATGCTCGCCGATGCATCTGATGCTTTACGTTCAGTTCATCACCCACCTATTTCTCGCATGTCTCTTCTGTTGGGTAAAGCCTTAGGAAATACATTTGAGGTTTTCAAAGGTCGAAGATTTTGTGGTAAAAAAACGAGCATTGCCTATAAGATGATCTAATAATACAGTATATTCCCGTATCACACAGTTGATAAGTCACGGCGATGCTTTCTCTCTGTTATTAGAAATCGTGCTATAGAAGAATTTTTCGTACAACCCGCCAAAGTCTTTATACATTTATACTATAATTTTTGTATCAATTTATTCTTTAATAATTTTAATAAATTTCCATTTAATTTTTGTGCAGGTGTATCCCGGATGGCGGGGACGTTGGTTACACGATGACGGAACTGCAGCCGTCGCCGCCAGGTTATCGAGTCCAGGATGAGGCCCCGGGTCCACCCTCCTGTCCCCCGGGTTCCTACAAGTACGCGAGTCACGGCCACGGCAGCGAGACTGCCAATTTCAAGAGTAACGCGTCGTATCCTCAGGAAGGCTATGGCCTTAAGCAGAGTCCGTCCCGGACGGTGCCTCCTAACGAGTACTATCGGCGTGGCAGAAACGACGGCAGGAGGTCCGCGGAGAACGAGCACGAGGCTGGCAACGGACAGGGCAACGGCAACGCAGCCAAGAAAGCCACGGTTGCCGGTTACAACGAAAGTCACAAAAAGAATACTGCGGGCTACAAGAACGACAGCGGGTAAAGAGACCTTCGATTTACTTCTGTTCTTCTCTTCCCTCGCGGTGTTTACGGTCCCGCTGTTATTGGACCGCGAATGTTTACGCACTTGTAATTTGCAATTAAACTACGTAAAATATGAAACGGATAATATATGAGCGGGTGCGGAAGGGAAGGCCGTCTCCGTATGGAAGGAATATGCGCGACTGGTGTCAAGTTTATTGAAAGTATACCGTCGTAAAAGAACTGTTAGTTTGATCAGAATGTCAATTACAATGAATTATGCATGAATATTTTTTGAAAAACAATTTCGGACTTCATTAAATGTATTGTGAGAAGGAAACGTACATGGAATGAGTAATACGCTCGTATACGTGCTTTTAAGAAGGTGGATACAAAACGTGTAATTATGGGCGTCATAAAAGAAGCATAAAATATTAAAAAGACGGATGTATTTGTACCTGTTTAATTCGTTGTCTATATACAGGTACAGCGAGAGCGTTGGATTTGACAGTTACACGCTCCCTCTCAATGAGAGAGACGAGGCGTCGCCACCGCCAACGCCACCGGTCAGAGACGCGTCCAGCCTCAAAGGCGTTTGCTACGGGCCCGGACACGAGAAATATCCGTCCTGGCCCAGTGCGCCGGAGAGGCATCCCGACGAGGACGTTCACAATTCGAGCCACAGCGGATCCCATCGCTCCAAGTCCTGGACCGATCACACCAATTACCCGAAGGAGAAGCCTGCCCAATACACCAGACCGCACACGAAGAGGCCCAATCCTACGTTCACGCAGCAGGTGACGCATATCTTCGAATCATGTACAATATTACACACAGTGACTCGCAGATTCATTCACGAGACTACGTGTTTCAATGAAGTGGACTTATTTCTAAATCTTTGTCATCATCAAACTAAATTCTGTGACATCTCGTGGGTTTCATATACAGGAAATTTATTTATCTTTCTAAATTGTATAATCACGATTCGTGAGTCACTGTATATTTATTTATAGATTAGAAGTTTCTCGGCCAAAGATGTGTCGTATGTACTAAATGGAAAGCGTGAATCTCACGGTTTCGTCTCGCATCGAACACACGTGGCGGGCGCATTCCCTCGCGTCGCGGTAGTTACGAAATTGAAAACTCATTTGCAAAGAGGCGAAGCAATTTCGACACTGTTAACGAGTCACGAGAACGGTTCTGGGCGAGCTTATCGCACCATTTTCAGTGCGCGTCCCGCAATCGCGGCGTGTAAAGTACTTATGTGGTCTTTCGCGGGAAGATAATAGCGGCGAACGGTAGAGGGAAATTTAATTACGTGAACGTGTCGCGTTTAAGCGTCGGTGAAACGACGCGGGACGAGTAAGTCGAGATCTCGGTAGATCATGTGCGCCCTAAAACGACGCATGTAATTAATCTCCCACACCCGCACTCTCCTTTCTCCCGAGCAATGATATAATCGCCAGTTGGGACGGCAACATCTTCAAAAGTAGGCCAGTAATTTCAGGACGCGGCGGTATGTTTTACGTCCTTCTCTCTCCAACTTTTTTCAACCCCGTGTTTCCTTTAACTTATTTAAATCACTGTATTAAATGTGAACCAAACCACTTCGTCTTCAATGACGGTTAGTAAAAAGTCTATTATTTTGGTTTGAACCATTCGAACTCTGAAGGATTATAAATAGCTGTGGTATAAATCGCAATATGAATTAGGGAACGATTGTCTTCCGTTCCTTTCACTTGTCAGAGCAGAAAATTGAGCGTCGTAAATAATATGGGAACCAGAGGGTTAATGTCGTCGTATATAAACGCGAACGGGTATTCACAGTTTCCAGTTTCCGTAGAACGTTAACTCCCCTTTTGCTCGATTTAGGACTTTCTTATTAGCTGGGCGTAGTTTTTGCACCGGTAATTAGCTCGTTGCCCGATGGTTTATTTTAAACGCGTTCTACGAGAGGAATGGCTATTCGAAAACAGAACCGGGCTTAAGTTCAATTACGCGTCACGGTTCGAGCAAGCACATGCTCGTCGATTGCGTAATTAATTATCTTACAAGAGCAGTCGTCGTAACGCGAAAGCGTTTCGAAGTAGCACTCAGCGATTTTCCTGTTGCAGCTGAAGACGGTGATGGAACGCTGTGAGAAGATACCGGTGGAGACGTTCGAATCGCGCAATAGAAGCGGCGTGGAAGAAGAGCCGAGGATGTGGCCTCGCGTGGATCGCGAGGGCAAAGCCTTGGGAGACGCGGAGTACGTGGTGCCATCGCCTCCTGAACGCGAGCAACAGACCGGGCAAACATTGAGCCATGCCGATTTGGAAGCTTATGTTAGGAGCTACCAGGATCCTCAAGTGTCCCAGGTGGACATTTACAGAGAAGCAACCCTAACGCAAGCGGGTCTTGAAGAGTACACGAGGGTTCAGCACTCTCAACAAGCCAGCTACGCACAATCCGAAGGTTATCATAGTTACGTCTCCAGCGTAGACTCTACGACAAATACTCCGTTCCTCGACAGGTAAAACGTTCGAAACGATTAAAAAAACGCTTTAGAATACTCACATGGAATTTGTTCAATTAGATTGAGGAGAGACAGCGAAGCGGTGGCGCAGAGGCCGACGTCTACCTGGGAGGACGCGTCTAGGGAAGGAAGAGACAGCGTGGTGACTACGTCGAGTGGAAGCGCGTCGAGCAGCGAGACTTTGAAATGGCACGGCTCCATGTCGGACGTGAGCGTGTCCAGCGGATTGCCGGCGCGGCAGGGCGCGTCGGATCGGTGGCATCACGGATCGATGTCGGATGTGAGCAGCGTGAACGGCGGTATTTTGCCACCGAAATCCAACAACGGTTGCCATGATAAGTGGCAAGGCTCCATGAGTGACGTCAGCAGCAGCGGTCTGTCTCCGACTACGAAGGGCAGACACAGCGAGAAATGGTCGGACAAGTGGCAGGTTTCAATGAACGATCGCAATAAGAGCCAGGGTAGGTCTAGTCTGCCGGCTGTGATCAATCATTGCAATTCGTCGAACAATGTGACCGACGTTTCGAGTGGCGTACGGGAGGGTAAATGGCAGGAATCAAATATCGATGAGGAATCTTTGGTGAACAAATCGCAGACAGGCTCACAGTGGGACAACTCGATGAGAATCGAAGGCGACAAGTATGGTTCCTTGACTCAGCCAATGCCACAAAGCCCCGTGCGGCAACAGATTGGTGCAACGACCTCGCAAAGTCCGGAGAACTGGAATCCTATGCACGGCTCGATGTTGGACGTCAGTCAAACGAACGGACACTCTTGTAGCAAGCAGCTGATAGCTCATAGTGCCAGAGTTCAGACGCCGCAGAAGCATAATTCGGAAAGCGTATTGTATTTAGACCGCGAGAGAAATCAGCGGAAATTGTACCCTATTAGCACCACGCAACCTCAGGAATCCACTCAATCTTCAAGGTAATACATACATCTTCAGAATATATCTATTTTATTCATGTAAAACATGTTTTCTAATCGATTTCTGTCTTTCAGAACGGCACCGACGTTGCCTCAGCAGCCGCAAATATCGGTGGCAGAACGTATAAACGAGCTAGAGAAGCAGCAGCAGCAGCAACAACAGCAACAGCAAATGCGTTACACGTACTTAGACCCAGAGAAACGGCACAGAGTGTCTGATCCAACGTTGAAAGCGATACAGAAAAAAGCTCTGCTCTCTTTCTACGAGAGACATCACCAAGCGTCCTGGAGATCCGAACCTCAATTGGCTCAAGGAACAGCACCCGCTCCACAAAGTCCACCACCGCAGCCACCACCTCGTCCTAGGCCACCCTCTTCAAGAAGAGCCAGCTCTGCTTCCGATTATGCCAGCGGCACGTGGCGAGAAAATGCCAGCAGAAATCCGAGCCAGAGTAACGGAGAACTATCGAATCCCAAGCACCAGCACAGCAATAGTTGTGGCAGCCTTTCTACAGATTTATTGGGGCCGGTGATAGTCGGACCAGCTATATCTATTGACGATTGGGTGCCAGAGAGACCACCGAAGAAGCCGCACTTGAGAAACGTTTACAACGACCGCGTACCCAGCCCTGATTTGCCACCGCCGTCTCCACCCACGGTAACCGAAAACGAAGTTCATGACTGCGACGACCCGTTGCCGCCACCTCCGCCCGAACTCAGCGACGATTGTTTCACGGACAGTCAACGTAAATCTAGCAATCATCATCAATCCGAGAAGCCAAAGGCTCGTGACAGATCTTACGACAGACACAAGTTGGAGAGACACTCGATGAGAAGATCGAAGCACGGCTCCAAGAGAGAACAAGAAAAATCGTCCGGGAAGTGTTCACCGAGTTCGCCCGTGAAAGTCACAAGCCAGGAACAGGAGCAACCCCAGTTTGTTAGAGCTGCGGTAGCGTTGAAACACGCCGACGCTGACATGGTGCTGGAGAACGGTGTCTCTGCCGGGTTCGCCACTCACAGAATGGTAGCTACAGGTCGATCTAGTCTGAGATACCCATCGACGCAGAAGTTAATGGTGAACGGCAGAGTGACTCCGGCGAGAAGAATATCGGAGGAGCGATCTTTCTCTAGGCCCCCAGCCCAGCTACCGGATCTCATCTCGCAGCGTTACAGCGACTCTGGGAACCAGAGGCCAGCGCCGCAAGTTCCCGTGGAGCCGAGAATCATCCGTCAGGAGTCGATGAGGGTGGAAGGGAGTCGAATCGACGTTTCCGGCTTGCTCCGAAACGACTCGGCTCAGAGATTGGAATCGTCTTCCGGTCAGAGACCACAGCCGCAAGTACCTAAGAGCGAGAAATGTGCCTCGAGTAACCAATCTAATCAACCGGCCAGACCGAACTATTTGCCTGTCTCGGAAAATTCGAAGTGCGCGTCCAAGTATTTAGAAAGTGTAAACCACGGTTTCACGATCGGTAGCCCGGTGAAAACAGGCTACGAAGCTAACTCCAAAATGTTCCCTGCGGAATCGAGTCCGCAGAAGTATCACGAACCGCCCAAGTACGTGCCCAACCATCATCAGCGTCACGGGGACGCAACGCAGAGAAATTATTACGCGTTGCCACCGAAGTACATCGACACACCGAAACAGAAACCACAGCCGCAATGCCCTACGGACAGATACGGTGGCTCGAGATCGCCTAGCTCTCCGCCTCCGCCCTTGGCACCGCGGCAAAACACACCCGGTAGAAAATCGTTGCCGCCACCGCCTCGACCTGCACCTCCTCACGCGCTACAGGGGTAAGTCCAGCTTATTATAATTTTTAATTTAACTCTCCTCACGAAAATAATATTCATACACGATGCGACAATCCAAAGTTTTAAAATGATGCGTTGCGCGAATTGCGCGCCGCTTTCAGCAAGCTTTACGAGACGTCATTTTTTGCCTCGCGTTTCGCGATCGCGGTCATTTCACGGGCTGTTTGTTTTACGGTCGTCAATTACAGATCTCGAGAGATGGTCTGTCGTGTGGTTAGGTATGCGATCGTCGCGCTGGAACGGTTTGAGCCGCGGAACGCACACGATCCTGTAATTGCGGCGTAATTGAATGGTAAATGGCTGCCGCCGCCGCCGTTTGCCGGTATCGTCCATTATAAGTACGTATACATACGTACCCCGCGCAGTGTCCCATCGTACGTTTCGCTTATCCGCCGATCGATCAGTTGAATTAGAGGTAACCGTGGATACACCTTACCCTGCGCTGTCGACGGGACGTTTATTAACGGCGCTGGGAGATCGATAGATCACTCGTGAAATCGGCGCGGAATGCCGCGTCGCGAAAACTACCTGTCGAGCATCCCTTGACGGCTCGACGTGACGGCGCCGTTTCATGGGAAATTATAAGCAGTAGGGGTTTCGGTTTACGATTCGGCCAGGCAAATACGCATCCTTTAATTAAGGGTTAAGACTCGTCACTGATTTTAATTTCTCCGCTAAGAATGTTTTATAATCGTTGAGCAATTTGCGGACTTGTAATACCACGACTAGTTAATTGATGTAGACCAACCGGATTGCTTGTGCTAATCCTCTAATAGTGTTTACGGTAATCCTTTAATCTTTATTGGTGTCGGCATGCTAGAAACGCGAAATATTACACTTAAGTTCATCTGCGAGCGGATGATAATTAATATTATATTCGAAACCAAAAGAAGCATTAATTTTCTTTAAATCTATTTCTCCGACGTACGCAGAGGGTTTATAAGAATTATTGTTCCGTTCACGCAAACATCGGACAAGTATTACCGATGGATTATCTGGCCGGGAAGCCAGACGAGATACTCGGTACTCGTTTTTGCGCCGATTTAAATCCGGGAACTCGTAAATCCCTAGGGATCAGCGATGCCGGGGGTTCGTCGAACCTGCGGTCCGCTCGTTAATTATTTTCTCGTTCGGCCGAATCCGTATGCATTACCATGCGATTATCATTGCAAATCTAACGGTGCTCATTACCGCGTTGATTTACGAGCGTGTGACTTTCCCTGAATCGCGTCCGACTAGAGTCTCATTTAAATGACATCGTTGCCGCCAGTCCTTTGAAAATGTTTATACAGACCAATAACTCTCTCTTTCTATCTCGCATGTGGGAACGCTATAATCTCTCCCATTTTAACATAACTGCAGCATAACAATAAAATTGACTCAATGTTGTATTAATATTTATTAAATTGCAAATAGAATAGTTCCTTAGATTGTTGAAAAAAGATCGCATAAATGAATAAAGCAACTCGTTGAATGATCGAAATTGAAAAACGGCAGTACAAGGTCGATACGGAAGCAAGAGGTCCGTAAGCTGACGCCTCTTTTGTCCTTCGGTCCGTGGCTTTTTGGGTCACGAGACAGTCTCTGACCAGTTGCAGAACGCGGCGTGATCGTGACATAGCGGGGCGGAATACGAGGTCTCATCGTGACGGAAAGAAATTAACGATGGATTAATAGTAATTGCACGGTCGGATCGGTCGCCAAGATTCGCCCGTTGCACGGAGCGCACAGGATGTAGGCTCGATCTCACGGGGCGATAAGTCTTTTCACCTTTCTTTTGTTTCGTTCTCGCTCTGATTGGGTGACCAAGCCGGTGGCTTCTGTGACGGTCGAGCGGTCGTCCGACCGTAGACGAGATTCCCGACCCCGCGACACGGTTCGGGGAGCAAACCGTTCGGTTCAGTTCGGCTCGGTTCGACCTTCGACAGGAAGAGACAAGACAAAGAGATCTTCTGTGCCGCGGAGTCGGCCGACTGCCGATTCTCCTTGCTCGTCGAGCTCGCTGGGCTCGTTTCGTTCGGCGTATTCGAGCGGAGGCTTAACCTTTCGGTTAAGACCGAACCGAGCTACGAGGCAGAAATGTCAGAAAAAAGGTTACCGAGTGGCACCACGGGCGTGTTTGCCTGTTCTTTGGCGCTCGATTATGCTCGCCGTGGCACCGCGGATGGAACAGTTGAGCGCGTGAGAATTCGTCGACTATTCGGCCTCGTTCAATAAGATCCTCGTATCTAGGAATGACGTAGAATAGAATACACATACATCCATGCGGTGAAAGCAAAAGTAGACTGAACTGCATCTTTCTCGAGTAGGAAATCGCAGAATTAATTTATTCTAATGACAGCAATTCGAATAAACAGTCTAAAAAATAGAAACGCCTACGTTTCGCCAAGTTTAAATGTAACAGGAAGTCGAGTCTGTCGCGAACATTTTATCTTTGACACAAAGATGCTGCGCATCGGTGTGTGTATACACACGCCAATTTGCTCGTCACTCACGCTGAACGATCCAAATTATACGTTTCACGGAAACGCAAAGTTGCTCGCTGCGATCTTGTCAGATGTGGAGCACGATAGACGTACACGAGTGATCTCATTATACGCTGCAACTGCCTTAGTAAGCAGTGCATATTTCCTCCATCGAGTATCTGGTAGCATAGAACCAATCAGCAGTAGTCTTGTGCTGATAAATTTGACAGAAAATTGCTTGCCAGGCATAAAATTTTAGTATAGTTAGAATATAAATCGTGTGGCGATGCTCTAGTTCGTACATTCAGTTGAATTTTTCATCTTCCACCCTTGTCTCTCGTTTCATTATACTTGAGGTTGCCTGCAAAACCGCGACCTCGACGATAGCTGGGATGTCAGTGCCAGGTATCACTTAACACCGGTTTAATTATACAATGTGAGTTAAAATGATCATATAATATTTTTATAGCATTTATACATATTCATAATTCTTATAGCAATATAATTTAAATAATTCTCCTTTAAATACTCAATATCAATCTACAAGTCAAATTTTATTCATTACTTAGATCAATTACGAATCATAAACCAATGCGAATAAACAGTTCTTAGTGTAAGAGTACTTACAATAAAATAAAATACAGGTATTAATCTTGTTAATAACATGCAATACTAATTAATTATAAGTGTTTTAATGCGCTCTTAAATTGTATATTCAGTTTTAATTCTCACTGTATAATATTTAGTATCTAGTTGTCCACCCTTTACCAAGTCGGATGACACGACACAGTAAGAGATGAGAAATAATATCGCGAATTACAATCATTATTCTCGTTTTATTATCTTCTTTAGTAATGAATAAGTGACTACTCGTTCTTGTAAAAGAAACAATTACATTAATTATTTTTAATTTTCATTTACATAGGATTTCACTAAAACCAGTGAATATCAAAACAGTTTGAATTTGTTGAAACAAATCTTAGTTTATAACAAATGTCAAACTTGATAAATGTTGTTCATTTTCTAGTTATACCTAACTTTCCTTCCTAATGATAATAGATTACTTCAAAAATAATTTGCAAATTGTTAGGTCACAACTATTGAGTGATGTACGAAGAATTATTATTTACAATAAATGTATACATGAGAAATGAGAGAGAGAGTGTGTTTTGCAATCGATTAATAAATTAATTGCTTGTTTGTCCAGTCTGTTCATTCTGTCAATAATTGATAAGGTATTTCGAAATGAGAAATCTTATTTGCCATTCGAATGAAACTGCTCGTTCTTTGAAATAAGAGGTTCGTTTGTTCCATCGCAGAATCGATGAGTTATCTAGTAAAATACATATAGTTATCACTGATACACGTGAGTTATCGGACATGGCTACAGTTATCAACGTCCGATCTCTGAAAAATGCGAGAACGCATTGATACTTTTATCACTGTGTGCACAGGGTGTATCCTAAAACCCTTCCATCCGGACAGAAAATGATTCCAGTTAAAAAAGAAGTAAATGGATAATAAAATTTTCTCGCATGCGGATTCGTTTTTAAGGATACGATTCCTACCGACTCGTTACGTGTCCTCTCTTCGCACGTGGCGAGACTCGTTCGACGACTTGTCAAGGAACGGGGTCAATTGCATGCAATCCTAACTAATTCTAAGCGAGTTTCAGGAGCGATAGTGGTAATACTGGTACTCCGTAGACACGTTCATTAGTCAGCCGATTAACACATCCGTCGAAAAGAAAGTGTTTCGCGTTGTTTCCGAATTTCGTAATTGCGTAGGCTCCTGCATAAGCGAGGTTTTTCTGCAACGCAGTTAGTTCGATGCGCAGACGGTTTTACTTAGTTTTCACTGGATGCACTAACGATATCGTTGTGTACACACACGTATCATTAGGTCGATCTTGTCAGATTGACGCTAATGAACTGAGTTATTACGTCTAATCAGTGGTACACTTTTTTATAAAGGACGGAAACGCCTACTAGGAGCCTGTTCAATATTCTCAGATAACCCGTTATAGCAGTATACATATATTTAATTAATCACCGCTCATAATGCGTATAATGATCGCAGTTTTGCTCCACTGCCTCCACGCGCGCCGATACCTTATCTATCGATCCGTGCAATTTATTGCATATTAAGTTTCTGTTTCTCTTAATCACTCATTTGAATCGCTGTCTACTTTTTCCCATGAATTCGTAATCGGAAATGAAACTGCAACCTGGAAAACCGCAGTGTCTAACTGTTCCCTGAACAAGTGTCTTCGTTGACGACCTCGGTTTGGTTCCGGGCGAGGTGTTACCGTTCCTTGTGTCGTTGACGAGGAAACGAGGAGCTCAGGGAGGCTTAAGAAACAAGTGACAGGGGGACAGAAATGACAAAGACAATGGGCAACGAATCGAGAGACCGGACACGGGCTCACGAGAGCGTCTCGAGTCTCGAGGAACGGTACATATCTCGGAATACATGTAACCTTATCGCACTCTGTCTCATAAATAAGTGTTAAATTGCTTGAGATTATTTCCAAATTTCATTTTGCATTTAGTATCATGCGATTACTCAAAGAAATTTTTGCTACTAATCATTGGAAGTATCGCCGATTCGAGAAATTTTATCTGCTCGATTACACTTGTGTAAACCCGTGTGCCACCTACGTGACCTGTCTTTCATC